TCAGTGTCACAGCAGTATGTCTGCAGCCTTATAATGCTAGAAACCGGGTTTCGATACTCGTCCATTGTGTAGCTTTGAGATTTAATTCATTGTGTTGAAAAACTAAAAGTCCTGCAGTGGACACAGCAAGTAGCCCAATGTGGCTTTGCTCTAAAAAAAACAAATGTGGCATTCAAGTTTTAAACGAAAGAAGTGTAGGAAGTAAATGTTTGTTAGCTATGCCAATTTGTTTAGTTCAACAAACGTATTTTTATTCTATAGGTTTTGCCTCATATTCAATTTAAAGCGTTTATAATGTAAATACATTATGCAAATTTAAGCATGTTCCTAAGACTGATAAGGTTAAGTCAGGGGAACTAAAAGCTCACACTTAAATTAAGCTAACTACACAGCACCTTTTTTTTTGTTAGGTAACACGACACTAGTAAATGTCTAGAGGTCAAATATGACACGTGTAGGCAGGACCCGATTTCACAGAATCAAGAACCTTTCCAACATAAATTTAATTGGAGGCCTGAAAATTATTCGGCAAGGAATTTAAAATGTCTGATTTGACAGTAGCCTAATATATATTGCATTCTTATGTTAGAAGTTTAATAATTTAAAATCACACAAAGTGAAAGAAAATTAGCTTGAAATATGTGTAGAAACCATAAGTTAAGACCTGTTTGATGCACGTAGAGCCTCTGGAATAATATCAAGAAGAGGTACAAATCCCAGGCCCGACCTGCATATAACTTGTTGTTGTTGAGTTTAGTGCATGACTGAACGGTTTTATACGTTACCGAGTCATCATCTGGAGCACGTGACGTACACGCTATTTGGCCATTAATCCATAAACAACACAAGCTGGCCTGCTAGTACAGTTGTACACAATAATACAATACGTGAAGGATATCTTGAACTTTTGATTGATGAATCACACTTTTTTTGTGTGCAAAAGAAAATTATATTAATGGTTTATGAACTTTTCCATTAATTTATTCATAACATAATCCACTTTTAAATGAAAATATGCAGTATCTACTACAGCGCCACTAAATCCCCCCCCCGATATCTTAATTCGTGTATAGCTAAAGAGATACAAAAATTAAGACTTTTCTCTCAAATGGTGAAGTTTCCATATTATTTAAACATGCACTTGTAACAAGTGTATTTTGCTTAAGGCTTATCGATTCAGATTCAAACATATTTTTTGTTGTTCTATTCACAGCCTTTATGTATTGTTTTAAGGTGAACAATAAAGAAACACCCTGAACTAATACTGCGATAAATGTTTGAAGTAAAACGTTCGTTTTTGTTTTTTTCTTGTTTGTTTTAACAGATAACTTATTAAATATGCACTACCAGCACTTGTGTTTAAAATTTTCTAAATTATAATAAATAATTAAAGACAACGTTTTATATTTACACACTTAGATCACGTCGAAATATGTGCGTGTAGAGTGATATTTCTATTTTAAAGTGGGAGCCGAACGGCTTCAA